AAATAAATGAAACAGAAGAGATTCCTGTTTCATTTTTTCATTTACTTTTGTCTTTCCTGCCCCCTTTAAAAAATAATTTTACTTTGAAACAATTTCAAATTCACAGACAAGCCCCAAGAACCCCCATACACCCATACACCTGGATCTCAACAGGTAATGTTCTTTATAGCCGTGGGGTGTGGGCGCTGGCCACAACCCTGTTCTCCTTGGCTTGGAACAGCTTCTCAGTCTCCCCTTGGGTTCTGTGCCCTGGACTTTATGAGGACAGCAGGACAGTCACATTGTGTGCTGTCTGTGCACTGGGATGGGCCCAGACCTCCATAAGATTGGATGCAGAGCTCCACCTTTGAAGGATCATCCCTGAAGCAATGTCTTCTCTTTCTGTGTCCTCTTGGGTGGCACACGAGGTTTACTTGTCCCATCAAGATGGTGTTAATGTGGATCACTTGAGTAAGATCATGCCTGCTGGATTTCTCCACTGTGGTTTTCCCATTTTTCCTCTGCAACTAAAAAATGTATATTTTTTTTTTGTCTTTTTTTGAGACAAGGTCTCATTATGCAGTTCAGGCTGGCCTTGAGCTTGCTTTGTAGCCCAGGCTGGCCTCGAACTTGCAATGATCCTCCTGCCTCAGCCTCCTGAGTGCTGGAATTACAGGTGTGTGCCACCATGCCTGGCCCCCTAAAAAATAATTTGTGCAGAGGAACTTTGAGACAATGTAAATATGCTGTTCCTTATTCCACTTTCATCTAGTTTAGCATCCACTGATATTTCCTGGCTGAATCACCATGCTGCTTGGCCAGTGCTAATTATTCCCATCATTCCTGATAACTTTATTGCTGTTGTTATTTTGCAGTACTGGGGAGTGAACCCAGGACCTTCACACACACAAAGTTATATCTCCAGCCTTTTTTTTTTTTCAGAAAGGGTCTTGCTGTGTAGTTCAGGTTGGCCTTGAGCTCACTGTGTAGCCCAGGCTGGCCTCAAACCCACAAAAATCCTCCTGCCTCAACCTTCTGGGCATGGGGATTATAGGCATGCAATACCACACCTGAGTTATATACTTTATTTCTTTTGTCTTTTTTTAAGACAGAGTCTCACTATGCAGTTGAGGCTGGCCTTGAACTCACTTTTGTAGCTTAGGCTGGCCTTGAACTTGCAACAATTTTCCTGCCTCAGCCTCCCAAGTACTGGGATTATAGGCGTGTGCCACCAGGGCTGGCACTTCCGATTTATATACTTTAAAAGGGTGAATTTTTTGGCAGTGAATTATATTTTAATTTAAAAAAATCATTGATTTATCAAACATGGGTGAATTCCTAAGGAACCTGGTGTGGGGTCAGTGCCAGACACTGGTGACCCACAGTCCAGCAAAGTAAGATCTCTGCCCTGAAGTGCTGATCTAAAGTGACCTTGTCTTCTTGGTGTCAGAGTTTAACACTTGCACTATTTTCCTCTTGGGATTTTTGGAAGGAAAAAGGGGAAAGATGAAAGCTATTTGGAAATCTGCAAAGCCTACACAAAGGCAGGGCTCAGTGTGCTCCGCCGGCCCATGTTCGGCCAGTGGCTTCCAGGATAGAGCCCTCCCAGGCAGAATGAGGACACGCAAGCCAGGCGCTTGTGCTTCCACACTTTGGCCCTGGAGGCTTAGGGAAGAGGGCAGAGACTCCCACGCCTCTGACTATAATCCCTTCTTTGTCCAGGCTGTGATGAGCCAGAAAAGGAAGAGAGGCAGGGATTCCAGAGAACTGGGTGCAGCCTGGGCTTTGGAGCAGATGAGAACTGCATGCTCGTGGGAGGACACAAACCTCGCTCCCAGCCGCAAATGATTCCAGTCACCAGTGTCTCCTAGATGAACTGTCAGAAAGCACCGTCTCAGGAGTATGGGTAACAAGTTCTTTGATCGAAGCGTTTAGAAAAGGATTCACTCTGTGGGTGTATCCATGGAAACTGGGAGGTGAAGGGCAGTGTTTCTGAGTTGCGTGAGGATAAGAAACGGCCAAGGAAGGGTGTGGCCTTGGGCAAACTCATCTACACTATAAAATCTCTGCAGCACTAGAAAGGCTGCTATGTGTCTGGCACCGCGTCCAAACCCTTCACAGAGGCGATCTCACTGAAGCTTCCCATGGCTCAGAAGCAGGGTGCTCATGTTTGCACAAGGTACTCTGACAGACCGAGCTTCCACTGTGCTGGCCCCCTCACTCTCTGTACCCCGTCGCCCTCCCTCCTGACTTTCTTCCTCCCATCCCCTTCCTCTTCTGTAATATGGTGGCCCCCTTCTACTTTTCTGGTCTTTTTTTTTAAGAGAGAAAATGTGATATTTATCTTTCTGAATGTTTTATTTCACATAACATGACGATCTCCAGTTCCGTCCATTTTCTTGCATATTCAATCTGAGTATGCTAGAATGAAACCCACTATTCTGTATTTGCATGTGGTAATAAGAATAATAAAAATTAAAAAAGCCCTGGGGATGTAGCTCAGTGGTAGAACACCCCTGGATTAGATCTCTAGTACCACACAAACAAAAACAAA